CCCCAAAAGATTTGTTGTTGCGACCTCTCCTTCTTCCTCGTCGGAAAAATCGATAGAAGGCGAAACAGTAGACGAAGACAGGGGTCAGAAAGTTTCTAGTCAGAAAGTTGGGGAGCTCTCTGAAACCCAACAAAATGTGGTTCGTAGTAGTGAAGGCTCTACAGTGCATGTTCCAAGCTTTAATCTGAATATTGCCAATTCTATAGGTAATGTTTCTCCTATAACCTCTAACTCTACTTTGGGGGTAAATGAACAAGAAACTATTGAGAATATGTTATTAAGTGCTGCAGGTGGTTATGAGGGTGTTAATGAGACCATTGGGTCTCAGGGGGGAAGGTGAAAGTCACAAGGATGAGGGTAGGGAACCAGTGCCCTTTGAACATCTAGCACATGTCAGTACTGCTGGGGAACTAATAGAGGGACCTGATCCATCTGCCAAAGAAGAGGACTCTACTCCTACTTGGGATGAAACACCTTCCTCCTCAAAAGAGCCCCAGGTCAGTACTGATCCTACTCCTTCTCCTCATTTCGATGTTAAGTCGTTAACCATTGTTTTTCCTGAGATGAGATCTCTATCTGAAGAGGAAAGAGAAAATAGTGAGGAAGACTTTGACAAGGTGTCTGTAGCAAGCTTCTTTGCAGCTAGGAATAGAAGGGCAGTTCCCAAAGAGCCCACTCTTAAAAGACCTACTACTACAATGCAACATAAGAAAGACCTTGAATATGTTCTAAAGAAAAACAAAGAAGAGAAGATAAGGAGGAAGCTGGTGAATGAGGAGGACATGCCTCCAACACTTGTTGTTGATGTTGACAATGAAGAGGTGAATGAGGAACCTGCTTCCTTAATTCGTCAGTCCTCTAAGAAACCTGTAGTTCCAAAACCCAAGAGAGAGTCATCTGTGAAAATTGTGGAAGTGAAAAATGTTAAGGGAGAGAAGTCTGGTGAAACATTGTCTGAGAAGTCTACAAAGAAAGAGAAAAGTGTGAGAAATTCTGTTAAGTGGAAGGCTGGTGACAAGGAGGAACCTGGTTCCTCCAAGAAGGTCAAAGTGAGTGTGTCTAAGGTTAAATAAAGAGAAAATCTTAGAAAACAGAGAGTGTTATGGGGCAGAACATTTGATCCTGACATTCTTGACATGACAGGGATGCGTCAACTGGTTGATATTTGTGAGTTTCAAAAATGGACATGCTTGTTCACCAATGAGAGCCCCAAGGTGTATGATGAAGAGGTGTGTAGCTTCTACGCAGACCTATTCACAGTGGAAGATGACAACATCTGCTTGAAGGTCAACGAAGTAAAATTTTTGATGGACGAGGCTATGTTGGGGAACATTTTGGGAGTACCTACTGAAGGGATCTCATCCATTGAGGGGACTTGTTCTCCCAATTTTAGAAGTGTCATTCTGAAGGATGATGTTGTGCAGCAAGGGAAACAGGTACACAAGAAGGCCCTCGTTCCAGTGTATCAACTTCTGTTCGAGATGATGAACAAGGTCTTGCTTCCACGTGCAGAAAGACGTTCCATTACGTCAAAAGCAGACCTATTCCTCATGGAAGCACTAGATGCCTACACTACTATCAATCTGCCTGGTCTCATGATAGAGCATATGAAGAAAGTAGCAGACTTTAAGGATGGGAATCATGGTTTTCCCTACGAGTTGTTGATCACCAAGGTGTTTAACTTCTTCAAAGTCCATTTGGGAAAGGCAACAGTGGGAACTCGCAAGCAGACCTTCTCAAAGACCACCTTGGAAGAATGTGAGTGTTTTGATAAGAAAGGAGGTGTTGGTAGCAATTCCACTATCTCTCAATTGATTGATGCTCAGAATGCAGTGAATGAGGAGATAAGGAGGTTGAAGGCACGGAATGTCATTCTTGAAGGGTAGCTTAGTCAGGCCCAGGAGGCACCTGGTTCTAACAATGCACAAGCCACAGAGGTTGCTCGCCTGACCAAGAAAAATGCAGATCTCAAGAAAGAGGTCGAGGACCTGAAGGAGCGGTTGCTTAACGAGCAAATGTGTGCAAATGCTCGAATGGATATTCTCCTTATAACCCTTACCTCCTCATCCCTGCCTCCTCCTTCTAGTGCTCCTTAAAACAGTCACATTCCTAGTGTCCAGTTCAATGCTGCATATCCTACATTGGTCCCTTTTTGTTGTTTTTGTAGCGATTACTTTTAAGTTATTTTTTTTTGTGAATGGTTGTGTAACAATGGTACTACTATTTCTGTTCTTTTTTCTTTCAAATTAATGAGCATCTCGTCTTTTTGCTATGCATGTTATACTCTTATGCTCTGTTTTTAGCCATGCTTGTATGCACACATGTGGCATGAGTTAACCATCTTAGACTTCTTTTTTCTTATTACTTGTGTATAATCTTTTTATGATGCCAAAAGGGGAAAAAATTGAGAAACTGGAAACAGTTTCTCAGGGGGAATACAGGAAATATTGTATGGTGATCTGGTTCTCAGGGAAACTTCAATTATAAGTTTGTCATCATCAAAAAGGGGAAAATTTATATGTTATCTGCCTTTTTATATTTTGATGATCTAACAAACTTTATGATAAGAATCAAATCGGGAACTTGTTACATATCATCAAAGTGCTCAAGAATAATAAGTCTCAAGTCGGGCACAAGTTCCAACAACTAGAGTCAAAGAGACGACATAGGGAACAGATGGACATCAATTCCCTTGCTGACTGTGCCAGTCAACTCCCCACAGCTATAAAGTCGCTGCAATTATTCCTCTACACACACGCAACAGTGCAAATAGTGCAACAGTCACTTTACGGGGAATGCCTTGTACCGGAATTGCTTGCATCATCCAAGTGACATCACTTGTATATTATCAACATGAAGCAAAGGAAAAACACATACTTGCACATCTGGAAATTGATTAAGTTTTCTCTCAAGTGTGCTACCATCTTGCAAGTAATATTCATGGCTTCAAGAACAAAGAACAACAGAACAAAGGACCAGTTTCCAGCACTGTGCTATCATATGTCCTTAATTGTGTTGTAACTTTATTAGAGTGATCTACTTATGATTCCTACTTCGCTTAGCTAGAAGCATTGTGTAGGAAACCATTTGTTATACCATAAACCTTGTGTTTGTATCTTGGCTAGTGTTAGTCGAGCTGTGAGCTTTGTAATAGAGTTATTACAAAAAGGTTTGTAATAGAGTTGTTACAAGTGAGTGAGAGATTAAGAGTTTAATTCTACAATAGTTTGTAATCTGAAGTTTGTTCAATAGTGAAGTTAAAATCCTACAAGTGTAGGTCGTGATTTTTTAATCCCGTGAGTTGAGAGTTTTTCACGTATTACTCTATTGTGTTATTTACTTATCTCTTATTATGTGTATTCTGTGAGAACTGATAAAGAACCAGGTTCTTTATACAGTTTGGTGGACTTTAAATTTCCGTCAGCATCGTTCATCAAATAGAAACAAAATCCATCATAGTATTTTCCTTGATGGGCTGAATTGTCTATCGTTATTTCACGAATGCTCCATTTTGTTTCCAGGTGTCACTATTGATCAGCTTTATCTTCAAGAAACAACACTCTTTTTAATTGCCATAATAACGAAATAGTAGATAAAACAAATTTCCTCCACTTCTGCATCCCAAATAATTCGATTGTTATAAAGAATTCCCTGAAGATAACATTTTCAATGATTTTCAAAATTTTAAAATACTTTAGAACTATACTAATATCATCAAAAATAATTTTATTAGTCAATGTACTTTTCTATATATGATAATAATTTATAAAATAATTAGAGCAAGAAATATCTGAGACATTAAAACGTTAAAAGATAACTCACACTTGATTAATTACTTAAAAGCTAAAGTTTCGTAGTGCCAATAATACAAGCATCAAAATGAAAATTAAGCTATAAACAAATTTTTGAGACGTTGATGAAAAAGAATAAATTGCATAGAACATAGTGAGAAGAAAAAGTTCAAGAAAACTAAAGAAGATTATAACGACATGCATCCAATTATAAAATAGCATCGGCTAATTGGATGCATGTCGTAGCTTTATAATCTTCTTTAGTTTTCTTGAACTTTTTCTTCTCACTATATTCTATGCAATTTATTCTTTTTCATCAACGTCTCAAAAGTTTGTTTATAGCTTAATTTTCATTTTGATGCTTGTATTATTGGCACTACGAAATTTTAGCTTTTAAGTACTTAATCCATGGTAGCACACTTGAGATAAAATAATAAACATTTGATAGAAGTCTATATACATTATACGGATTTTAATTTTTTTCTCAATTTAAGGAGATGAGAGAAATATTTTTATTTTTATAGAATTATCATATGTTAATTTTCATAATGAAACAATATAAAAATTATAACAGGTAATATTTAAAATAATTTATTGATAGTTGAAAACTTATCATGGAAGAATGGAGTTCAACCTATATAGATTATATTTTTACATCAATTAAGTATATAAGAGATAGCCTCCTAGTACAGTAAAAACAAATCTCATTACTTAAATTAACTTTTGAGGTTTAACAAACTATAATTTTTAAAATTATTTTTGAATATAAAATATTTTAGTTTGAAATCGCTTTCAAATAGTGTGGATAGATGAAACCACTTAATTTTCATTTTTAAACTACTTTAAAATAGTATGGGAAAATATGAAAATCTTGTAAATATTTATCGTTATTTCTTTTTGTTGCCCTATTATTTAAAAAATCAATTTTACTTTTTCTATGGAAACTTTTATTTGACTAAAACAAAAGTAATAATTTTACCAAATGAGGAAAAAGGTTCACAGTACTTCCGGCAAAAATAATCTAATCAATATTGACACAATGTATTTAAGCAAAAAAGTTTACACTACTTCATGCAAAAAGGAGAGTTGTGAATAGGGGAATGTGGGGTCTACGTGTATCAGACATTACATATTAAGAAATGCAAGGAGGGGCATTATTTAAAAAATACAAACAATGGAGTTCTTATAAAATGACATATATGCCTTTGGTCGACCATCTTTCCTTTTCTATATAACATATTGATTTACACGGTTTTGAGCTACTGATTAGCTTTACAACCTATAATCTCATATGTATATTTGACCAATTAAGCTGGTCATCAAACATACATGTTGGTATCAGAGCCAAAACTCCGATTGTTCGCGTGTATAATCTCATTTGTCCTCATGTCAGTTGAATCCGGAGGAACTTTCCCATCAAAATAACCTATCTCTTTCTTCCTTGGCCCGTAATACCAAAAGTAAGCAATCTTAAAATCGTGAAAAGCATATCTACTTATAGAACCAGTTTTTTTTTCTTTACTCGGAAAATGTGGAATAGAAGAACATTTCCAAATCAACTGTATTAATCATTTGATTTGAGAATCTCATAGGAATTCTTTTCTCAGGAAAGGTGAGAATGAGAATAAGATTTGCAAATCAATTGTACCGTTGCTAACATGAACTCAGAACAACTAAACGAATTATTACCTGTTTTGCCCAATTTGTGAGATAAGTGACAACAGAAAGCAGAATAGCTTGTGCTATAGACCCCATGATTAGTCCACTCCAGAGGCCCTTCTCTTTCCAATTCAAAACAAATCCCATTAACAAAGAGGCAGGAATTCCAATCAGGTAATATGCTCCTAAATTCACATAGGCCACTATATGTTGCCAACCACTTCCTCTTGCAACTCCGGCTAATAATGTTATTATGCTATCCAGGATGATGGAGAGGCAGAGAATAGGAGTTAGTTCTTCGGTAAGATTCACCACTTCTTGTTCATTTGTGAAAGCATATCCCCATACTTTACGCAAGAAAAAAATAATCGCACTTGCCAGAAGGAACTCTACAGTTGCTAGAGCGAAGACTACACAAATAGAAATTCTAACTGCTTTTGGATTCCCAGCTCCCAACTCATTTGAAATCCGAGTGCTACATACAAAATGGTAATGCGTTAATTTAAGAATGCCATATCGTACTAATCGCCAAACCAAAAAAGTCATTGTTAGGAAGTATGTTGGAAGAGAAAACCTTGCAGCAGCACTGAAGGAACATGGTATGAAGTAGTTGTAAGGCAATTAGTTCTGTTGCCCACCATTTCAAACTACAAAGGAAAGTAAATAAAGCCTTAAATAAATAAGATGTCATAAACAACACAAAAGGAAGACATAAGTTTTCCAGAGTCCAGACTAGGAAATCTGATAGTTAAATTACCAAACCATTGCAGCAGAAGGAATAACAAATTGGAAGAACTCCGGCATAACAAGGAAAACATCCTTTGAGAAAAAAAGACGCGTCTTTTGACAAGTTGACGAATACTTTAAGTAAATCACAAGTAAAATCACGTTCAACCAATATGATGAACCAATCGCCATAGCTGCACCACTGGCCCCTAACTCATATTTGAATATTAAATCCCAACTGAGTGGTACATTAAAGCATAGAGATGCTAATGAGCTCCATACCATTGGAATGATCAAACTTTAATTTGAGTCTGAAAGTAGCAAACAAGTGACTGAAGAATAGCATAAGGAACAAGAGTTGGGATGAGATAAATCGAGTACTTACCAGCTTCAACAGAGATTAATGGGTCTTGTCCAATCCATAGAAGCAATTTGCCAGTGAAGATCCATAGAAGAGAAACTGGCAGACACGCGAATAATAGAAATATAATGGCAGCACAAGTAACAGTGCCAACTTTCTGATATTGCCTTGCTCCATAGGCCTGTCCACATAAAGTTATCGACCCAGTTGCCAGTCCAAACTGTACACCAAATTCAGATTCAAATGACTTAAGTACCTCAAGCAATCTCGAGATAAACAGTGATAAAATACATTCACATTTTGGAAATAGAGGCAAGTCTAAAATCAGAACAGATAAGTTTATACACATTTTTTTACATTATTATTGTAATTTATCTGGTTGTAGCTAGAACATTACATACATCATTTAATTTTTCAGAATATAAACCCACACTTACTATAGTCAGTTTTTTGTATTAGCTCTTAAGTCACCTGAGGTGAGACAAATTTTACATGTTAGTGCTTGAACATTCTTGTCTCTTATTGTGAATTTTCGTAGTCTAACTTGTGAAAAGCTTATGCACAATTTAGAAAAGCATAATTATTCCAACTAACCGTTGTTAGTTTTTTTTATATATAGTTTATCATGTAAAGATCTAGAAGCTTAGGCCAGTTGACTTTGGCCAAATCCGCGTTTGACATTTGAACTTATTTCTTGGCAATTTTTTTTTTTAGATGGATGGAGTACTTGCTTAGTAGGTGGGATAAAGAATTATTATTAGCTTATAATATCAAAACAAAAATGTAAGTCTAAAACCAGAAATCTGAGAGCATGCATATTTCTCTGTGCGGATTAATCATACTAGAATTCTATGACTAATAATCCTTCTTAAACTGTTCATCAATGCTTGTGTTGGGCTGAACTAGCCCAAATATACTCCTAATACGGTGTGATATAGTCCGCTTTGGGCCAAGCCCGCATAATTTTCCCCAAAATGTCCCACACCATTAAGAGATGTCTGCACCTTATTTGTAGGATCCCAATCTTTTCAGGTACCGATGTGCGACTTTGTTCGCACACCCAACAATTTAAAATTAAGGTACTACTACAAATTAAAGAATGTTGAGAACAGAAATTAGTTAGGAGCTTACAAGGATGGCAAATCCAGTAAAGTTGCAGTAAGATGTGGCGATGGAGGCACTTGAGAAGGAGAGTTCACTTAAGTGACCCAACATAACCATTGGTGCATAGCGCAACAGGAATTGACACACATGCACCACTATCATTGGAATTGCCATGCGACTCACTTCTTTCACCTCGTCTTTAAACACCGCTTTTTTGCTGATCTCATTATTCAATGGCAGCAGAGCCCTTTCCATTTCCTCGAGCAACACCTTCTTTAACGGTTAAAACCAATCCTTAAATGTTACAATGATATGATAGCTATAAGCTTGAGGAAATTTGAGAGATAGAATGACAGGGGAGACCTCAGGAAAGATATTTGTATTGGGAAAAATTACATTTATATAAGGATACGCGTCGAGACACGTGGACTGGTCAAATAGTCAAAGAATTACAATTAATTAAGAGGCACGAGCAGCAATAGAAACGAGCAAGGACAAAGGAAGAGGCACGGGTGGCCGTACCTGTTTAAGTCATTTATATCCAAGAATCAAAAGGAATAGATCTGACCATAGTAAAGAGCGCAGATACAGAATTTGACGGGCATTAAATACTGGATACGTTAAGGAATTTGTATTGATTATAATGATTATGTAACGTAGCATTCAACGTCTTTAATTATTCATAATAGCCTCATTATGATTTGGGAAAAACGCATATCTTTAAGATACCTATAAAAGGGAGGTATCTGATCAATTGTAGGGACAAGGGATATCATCGGAATATACTTTGATTCACTTGTTTTTCTCTTGATTACATTCTGATTACTTCAAATTACTTTCCTTTGCATATTCTTTTGATTATTAGTAACCCGTGTTCTTCTAAATTCTAGCTGTGACTGAAATTCTATTTTTTGGTTGAACAATATTCTTGATCAGCCTATATTTAGGATCTTTAATTTTCGTGGAATTTTATAAGCTTCTCGTCTTTATCACAGAACAGTTTTTAATTCCATATATGCAAATTCTAGTTGACTTCTGGCAATTTTTAAGAGACTACGCCGGATGGATCACGTATAGATCTAGTTCTTTATTCTATCATTGTTTTGATCAAGTACTATGGTTGAATGGAACTTGACATACGTGAGCAGAAGCTTCGATTCACACTTACTTCTATACACAACTGCACTTCAATCTCATGAGCTGTCCTTAAACTGATCATATGTGCAAATTCAAGCTGACTTCTATATTTTATGTGTTTTCGTACAGTGTTTTTCATCCGATAATTTTTATTAAAAAATAAAACATTTTAAGTTCTAGAGTTGATCCAAGATATGAAACATGAGATCCATGGGGAAGCTTCACCCTTACGTCAATGTAAGTACTCTCATATTAGTGTACCACAAAAAGAAAAAGGCAGAGAACACCATATGCACATTGCACATTCTTTAAAGAATTTAACATACTATACCCCTAAATTCGAACGCCTTTAACTCATACACACGCATCACTCACGAAGTGGCACGTGTAAAAAAAAAATTAAAAATACCCATCGAAGTGTTCGAAATTCAAAGAACACCAGATCTCTCTCTAAAAATTCTTGAAAGAGCTGGTGGATGCAACAGATTCTCTTACAAACACTTTCAATTCAGATGTACAATAATTAGCGTAAAGACTTGAATAGCGCGTAAAAGTAGCCATTGCAAAGGAAATGATCCCATTATGCATGTTATACAAAGGCATAATTCGTTAATCTCTTGTCTTCCTAAGATCTTCCTTCGTGTACCCTTTCTCTTGCCTTCTTTGCCTGCATAGTCCATTCCCCAAATTTATAAGAAAAAAAACCGATCGAGGAAATTATGAAAAGACTTTCAGAAAAGTAAAAACAATGTACCTGTTTTTCCCAGTCTGTGAAACCTGTAACAATAGATAGAACGATCGATTGTATAGCACAACCAACCACTATTCCAATCCAAAGCCCCTTTGCTTTCAAATGTAGAACAAATCCCAACACCACTGCTAAAGGAATTGCTATCACATAAAATACCACTAGATTTATATATGCCCCAATATGCTGCCACCCACTTCCCCTTGCTATACCTGTTTTTCGTTAGAAAAAATAATCTTAGTCCAAGTGAAAAATCTTTTTTTGGAAAATATAATATCATGCGACTTACCACTAAAAATGAAATAAAATTTTACACATCAGATTTTCATTTTTTGTTTACTTTTTGATATGGAATTGACAGTGGCAAAGCTGGTGATGTGGAGAGTGATGTGTCTAACATTCCGGTCGTTCGTATTTTCTGAGTATATTCATTATTCAATGTTACAAAAAAAAAAAAAAAAAAAAAAAAAAAAAAAAAAAAAAAACTTTATGACTTTACTGTTATAGTAGGTAAAGTTCAGTACTGTTAGATAAATTAACGGCGGAGATGTTATGGAACTAACCAGTGATGACTATTTGTAAGCTGTCTGTGACAATGGACAGGCATAGAAAAGGCGTCATTGCTGCTATATAGTCCACGACTTGCTTCTCATTGCTGAATGCTTTTCCCAATACATGTCTGCTCCCGAACAGACTTGTGTTGAACACTAGTGTCTCTATGACGGTAAGAAACATTATTACCTGAACTGCCATCCGAGCCTTTTGAGGATTCCCAGCTCCCAGTTCATTTGAAACACGAGTACTACAAAATAATATCAAGACAACTGGAGTAAGATTATTTTGTATGAGTACTTTTTGCTACTGATGGACATGTTTGAAACTTATAGAGTCAAACCTTGCAGCAGCTCCAAAGCCATATGGTATACTGAAGTGTAATTGAGAAATTGTTATGCTGTGTGTGAACAAAATGATATATTAGAACCATTTCTATTAAAATAATTCTCCCAAAGGAATAGGAATTGTGAATTATAATACGGTACCATATTGACATCACTGATGTCTCGAGCTTTGGATTTGGTAAAAGGCCTGATACCAAAGCAAGCACCTCAAATGACCACCATTTTAGGCTACAATAAGTTGAACCATAATGAAAAATAAGTCACTGAGATAACAACATACAAATAAATAAACAAATACTTCATCCAATTGATCATTCATTCAGGAAGACGAATATTTACCAGACCATCACAGCAGAAGGGATAGCCAAACGGAAGAATTGTCTAATACCAAGGAAGGCTTCCATGGAGAAAGGCGCTCGAGTTTTCTCACAGGAGCTTGAAAGTTTGACATAAGATGCAAGAAATAGGACATACAACCAAGAGGATATACTGAAGGCTATAGCAGCTCCAATGTTTCCTAGCTCCAACTTAAATATGAAAGCCCAGCTTATGGGCAAGTGAAGGCATAGAACAGCAAAGGAAGATAAAAGCATGGGAAAAATCAAACTCTGTGCCTGCAAGTATCTAGATAGTGGTTTAGAAATTGCACCACCAAAAATAGCAGGGATTACCCATAATGAATACTTGCGCGCTTCCACTGAGATTGAATGATCTTGTCCCGTCAATATAAGCAATTTGTCCATGAAACACCACAACACACAGATTGGTATGCATACTAGAAACAGAGAAATTATAGCAGTGTAGGTATATGTACTGAGTTTGTGATATTGCTGAGCTCCATAAGCTTGTCCACATAGTGTCTCCATACCACCAACCAGCCCCGTCTGTTCCAAGTTCACAAACCTCAGTAAATCAATACTAGTTTTATGGACGAACATTTATATATTAAAAAAAAAAAAAAAAAAAGACTTTGGACCCAGAGGCGGACCCAGGATTTTAACGCAATGAGGGCACCAGTATTCTACTCAGTCAGTGCCCTCGAAAGGCTTTTAGTGTTCAAGGTGTCAACTTATTTAAATTAACCATTTTCAAGGTATACATATATATATATATACAAGATTTGGATCAAAGTTTACGGGATCCGGTGACCCCTCAATGTTATACATAGGTCCGCGTCTGCTTGGACCAACTCAACCCAAAAATTAGTCCATGATGCTTGTACAAAACCATATAAGGAGACGATAGTCCATTTCTTCGGGATTTTAACACCTCTCCCCTCCCTCTCGTCCAGGCCTGGACATTTGGAGCGTAAACAACATAGTATGAGGGACCGACAATGGGTAAACTAAGAATCGGAATGAATTTGTCTCTGATAAAAAAATGAATATTGATTCTAACTAAAGCGCAAAAGTTAGTTCGTGAGGTCAGTATATACAAACACAAGACATTCCCCGCACATGAGACACTAATGCATATGGACCATTAATATGTAGAGAGCACTTACAAGCAGGCTGAAACCAGTGACATTAGTTAGAGAAGTGGCGATGGCAACACTAGACAGAGCTAACTCTCCAAGATGTCCCACCATCATGACTGATACAACTTGCAACAAGTACTGAAAAACTGTGACCGCTACCATTGGAGCCATAAAACGACTCGTCTTCTTCAGTTCTTGAGACACAGCATCCCAATTTATCTGCCATTTCTTTTCTTTCAAGCTCTGTGGCAACTCCTCTACCATGATAGTTCTACTTGTTGCCAGTTGCCACTTCCAAAAGACGAAGAACCAATGCACAATTAGTACTAATTCTATGTTGTTTCCTAACACGTGACAGAAAGATGCTTGCTTACTTTGTCGGATACTTGTTAAAAATATTTTCTCGGTGTAACCATTTTTGCCATTATTTATGTTATCTGCTATACAGTTTTAGCTGTATTAGCAAATTTCCATTTGTCTTTTGTTCGATCCGGACTATTTTAAGGCTCCCAATTGACTAATGAATACTAGTATGACCTGCCAGAAACCATCTTTTTCAAAGGCAACTATATGTTGTTTTTACCATTAAATTATAAGGATCCTAACCACTTGGCTAGGTATAAGAATTATTTAACGATATTTTGTATATTGCTACCCCCAACGTGTCCTTTTTCAAGGTTTTTTTTATGTCCTTGTTGGCTTGTCTTGTCCAAGGTTTTTTAATGTCTTTGTTAGCTGTTGCACCCGTTTTTGCGTTCGGACACTAAAGATGGATTATCTAATTTTATATTTATGGAATATGATATATATTACATTCTTCATTTCTTCTTACAAAGATCATCATATAATCCAAATTTTATATCAAAAAAATATATGAAGAAAACTTTCTTTACTTCCTTTGGGCAAGTTATCAATTTGTAATTCACCTCCTTAAGACATGGAATTGTGTTCCCACCCAATTCACTCATTGGAACCTTGAACAGTTCCTGTTTTTCTTGGTAATTTCATATTTGCCTTTTTAAGTGGTATTATTCTAACAATAGGCCTTTTATCTTATTATCTTTTGAAAGCAATC